GCCCTAACGCTAACTTTGTAGTCTAAGTCCAACTTTTGTAGTCTTTTGTAGTGTATCAGTAAAATTTGTAGTCTATGTCCGACTTTTGTAGTCTTATGTAGTCTATCAGTAAACTTTGTAGTTGAGTCCGACTTTTTTGTAGTCTATCAGTAAACTTGGTAGTCTATATCTGACCATTCCTTTTCTAGGGCATGCACCTTCCTTTTTTGGTCATTTTTCCCACAATACAATAGTTGTAGCCCTTTCTTTTAGCTTTCTAAATATACTGAAATCATATTGTTTGGTTTTGTTTTCATGGAGAAAAATGCAAAAAACAAAAAAAAACACGACACTTTTGGGATTCCTTTACCTCATATCTCCACAATGGGAGCACTTCAGAACATAATTCAAACAGATTCAGGAAGCTACAGTGTAGGGCTACAACTTTTGTTTTTGACCATTTTTGGTAATTGGTCATGTGACCATCATCCCAACATCCCATTACATGGACCCTGATAGGTAAAATCATTCTCCGCTTGGTTTTCTTCACTTTTTGGTCAAACCAGGTGATATTTCCCTTTTGGGATGGAACCTGAAGTGGACCCTGAAGGCAGTGCCTGATGTTCTGTACACCATTTTTATATATATTCAATTTTTCTGCTATTTTTCTGGCTATTTTTGGATATATTACCATATTTGGAACTGGATCCTGGACCCTGACAATGTTACCCAACATGATGATCAGCAATGAGCCCTAATTTTTCCTGATTTTATTGCTATTTTACATTTGGAAATGCACCCTGGACCCTGAAAGGTCAGCTGCCGCTAAAAATGAAATATTCATAGAAAGCGCCAGGTACACATATGAAAAGTGCAATGAAATCTCCTAGGAATAAGAATGAAATATCCATTGAAAGCGCCAGGCATCCAAATGAGAAGCACAATGAGATATCCTGGGTTTAGCAATGAAATATCCAATGAAAGCACCAGGTATATCTATGAGAAGTGCAATGAAATATCCTAGGAACAAGAATGAAATATCCATTGAAAGCGCCAGGCATTCAGATGAAAAGCACAATGAAATATCCTGGGGCTAACAATGAAATATCCAATGAAAGCGCCAGGTATCCATATGAAAATTGCAATGAAATATCCTGGGGTTGAGAATGAAATATATTGAAAGCGCCAGGTGTCCATATGAAAATCACAATGAAATATCCTGGGGTTGAGAATGAAATATATATTGAAAGCACCAGGTATCCATATGAAAATCGCAATGAAATATCCTAGAAAAATGAGATATGCGATCTCATTGAACCTCTAGGCATTATACACATTGCCCTCCAGGCATATGTCTGGTTTTTATCATAAAAGTGTATACCACCCATCGCCACTAAGCTCAAACCCCTGTTCCTCGTCAGCCACACCTATCTCACCCACCCTCTCGCTCCCTCTAAGCAGGAAAAAAACCCCTCCAAAGCCCGTAACGACGGCTTCCCAGACTGTCATGCCTGGATGACGACGCGTCGAATAGTTCTGGAGAGACGACGCCGATGAGTGTGCGGAGGTGTGCGGTGGGTGTGCGTTTTCGTGGGTGGAGGGTGTGTGTGCGGTAAGGGTGAGTTGTGGGAGAGGAGGGGGGCAAAAGAGACGATGATGAGGCGGGGGATAGGGAGGGTAGGTGGAGGTGTGCTTGTGTGTAGGATTGTGGGTGGTCGCCTGTTAAGAGGGAGAGGAGGGTCGTTTTTCCTGAGCCTGGAATGGAGGGGGTTAGTTAGGGCGGACGTGAAAGTCGAAAGAAATGTGAATGTATGCGCGAAAAGGCGCGTAATGGGAGAATTAAGTAGATGACGTGAAGTCGGAGCGTGTAACGCGTGAAGCCCATTTGAACCGGTAAGCGGAACCACGCTATGAAGCCAAGACTCGATAGGAAAGTATGTACCCACCATTCGAGCCTTGTAAATGCCACCTCTCCGACAGAGGGGTTTGTTGGTTTTGTCTTCGGGTGGGACGGGACGCCAGTGTGTGGTTGGGTAGAGTTTGTGGACGACGCTGGGGTGTATGTATGTTAGCGGAGAAACGGAGCGAAGGGAAAGAAATGTACCCGTTATTCGGACTCCAATCTTTGAACCAGTGGCTTTCTACGTGTATGCGCTTCCATCCTACGTACGTAAGTAAGTTTCGTCGTAGCAAATAAAGACAACAGCAGACGTACCGTCTTTCTGTGCCGCTCGCCCTGTATCATACAAACAATAAGAGATCTGCGAAATCCGCTCCTTCTCATCCACCCTTGGGTTCTTCAAGAACTCGATCCAGCGGTGTTCCCCGAGAAGGCGTTCGTGCTCCGGGTAGGCTTTGTCGATCTCCAGTAGCACCATCCCGCGTGCCTATCACCACCTATCAGTATCCCCCTTCCACACCACTAAGCAAATGAGAGGAGAAACTCGCCTTGGGTTTGTAGTGTAACCCCAACAGTGGCTCGACGCCAATACACCCTGCGATCCAAAACACAAAGGCGATAACGTCGCTGGGAAGTTCCCAGTTGGCATTCATCGGGTAAGGTTGGTACACCGTCATATATCGAGCATCATCCGTTGCGTCGGGCGATTTTGCGCGTTTGACCATCGTGCTTCAAGTTTGGAGTGGCGAGTTGTGAGGAAAGAAGTCAAGGGCCGTTGTTTGGTCGTGTGTAATCTTATATTGTGAGTCACGTTACTCGTGTGCTAGGGAAGACGGGAAAGACAAAGATCCAACTCTATCATGGCCGGGAACGTTGTTTCAACGTGTCAACGACGTGAGGCGAGACGTTGGTGCTCGGGCGGAGATCGAATGGCGAGGTGTGAAGGCAAAGTGAAGGATTTCTCGACTAACAGACGTCAAGGAGATTTAAAAAAAACTGCATTTCACATACCCTGGACCACACGAGTGATGTGATTATGAAATAAAATTTGTGGAATTCGATCAGAGCTTTGAGAGGGGGAAAGAAAAGGTGCCTCAGAGCTGAAAGCTCAGGAAAAGTGTGAAGATGGCTAAAAAAATAATTTGCTAATGATATAATGGACACACCCAGAATTGAACCGGGGACCGCCCGCAGAATGGTGACAGTTATATTTCATCTCATGCTAAGTGGGCGTGATAACCAACTACACCATGTGCCTGTGTAGAATTTGTAGATTTCGTTGATTTTCAAAGGTTCTTGTTGTGTTTGCCTCTCCTCCTGCTTTCAAAAACCAAAATGCATCCATTCATACCGAGATCTAGCAAAAAAACTAAATGTATATTGTCCTTCAAGGTGAACCATTCAACCAGAACACACAATCAAATTCGCAGCACTTCGCCTCTCCACACCCTTGAAATCCATTGTTAGCTCGTCATCTGAGAAAGAAAGTGAAACGAGGAACTTACATTTTCCTTCCACGCAAGCCGCGCCTTCAACTCCGTACCACCGAACAGCATGATCAACCAGGGCATTCAGTAGATACGCTATGGAACCATAACAATAGAAATTGACAATTGTCCCAATAAGTCATAGGGCTACCCCAATGGGCCCAATTACAAAAGACATTATGATACTATACATTGGCCCAACAACATGACAATATGTATATTTGATTGTTGGGCCCAACGACGGTGCCACAGTCCAAGCTAAGGGTTTATAGATTGGCCACATGGCTTAAATGGGGGTAATTTTGGCCGTTGATATATGATGGTATTAAGGTACCATTGATAGTTGGGCCCAATGAAGGGAAATCGTTAAGGGAGATGGTTGGGCCCAATGGCCCAATTATTAAGCTACGGTTGATGGTTGGGCCTAATGTAAGGTATTTGTTAAGGGAACAGGTTGGGCCCAATGGTAAAATTTCAATGCTATGGCTTGTAAGTTGGGCCCATGCCATGATATAGGCTATAGTTCATAGGTTAGCCCAATGATTATTTGAATTTTGCGGGTGTGGGCTTTGGTCCGGTAAACCCGCAGGTCTGCTCCTGTTCCATTGGACCCACGGCCGCACAATTGTGCAATTACACCCGCGGGTTGGCTATTGTGCAGTTACCCCCATGGGGTAGCTCATGTTCCGTTACCCCTGCAGGTTGCCATGCGGGCCAGATCATGTTCCGTTACCCCCGCGGATCAACAATTGATCCATTACACCCTCGGGCTGGCTGTTGTTCATTACCCCCACAGGGCAGCTCTTGTTCCGTTAGCCCCGTGGGTCGCCACACAGGCCAGATTATGTTCCGTTACCCCACGGGTCGACAATAGGTCCATTACACCCACGGTATCTTATTCCGTTACACCCACGATGTCCAGCTCTTGTTCCCTTAGACCTGCGGAACCTTCTTCCGTTTGGCCCGCGGGTTTCCAATTACAGCCATGGACCATTTGTGGCTCCCCCGTGGGTCTCTGATTACACCCATGGATTACCTGCTGCTCGTTACACCTGTGGCCACCCACGGACCACCTGCTGCTCCTTGACCAATTGGCCCTCTTCCATCAGCCCCCCACCCGTGGGCCACGTTTGCAGCTGGCCTGCAAAATGGACCAACAATTGTGCCTTTACATTCACAGACCGTTATTCCGTTACACCTGTGGACCAGCAATAGTGCCATTACATCCACGGATGAGCTCTTGTTCCATTACACCCACAGGCTGTGCTCTCATCCGCGGACCTGCTCTTGTTCTGTTACCCCCGCGGACCAACAATTCTTTTATCCGTGGACCGACGGATTACCTACC